TTGCCCGAGCTCGCATTTTGCTTGGAAATTTTATTATATGCCATATATTATAAAAATTATATATAAGCATTATGCTCGGTTCCTTGTAAGAAAATAAACAAAATGTTGCAAAAAAACAACAAAAAAGAAATTGACAAAATAAAAACAATAAAAAAATACAAGAATTGCAAGAAAAGAGGAAGTACAGAGATAACAAAAAAAAAAAAAAAAACAAAAGAATACAAAAGTTTGATTGGACATTTTCATAATTTTATCTTTATGGTCAAGCCCATGAACAAGGTAGAGGAAATCTCAGGGTGGGATTTTGTCACAAATTAAAGTTTTAGAAGCTATGTGCCACTTCCTCATTTACCCTAAAAGTTAGTTATAATGATGGGTATAGCTTAAACCAATGCTTGAGAACATATTAGCTAATTTGGTAGCTGTTTTACTAGCTGTGGGACCAATCTTTTTACTCCGCACCAAAGTCTCCGACATAGATGCAAGTAAGGCCCTATTTGGGAAGATTGCATATACAAAAATAATCACTACAAAAGCCCTATTTGAGTGCAAAGTTTGCATCCATTTTTTGGATGCAAATTTTGCTCTCATTTTGAATATAAATATGTCTTAAAAATCATGTTGACTGTTATTTTAAAGACATAATTGCACCCTTATCAAACACTAGTAAAATAGAGCCCGAGTACAAGTATGTACTGAACTGGCATTTACACTCTTCCCAACATAATATATGAGATTGACTAGTAATATGGTTGGTACGAAGCAAAATGATTGATCCCACAACCACTAAAACAGCTATACTCAATTAATCTTTTATTCATTGGAAAAGTGAAGAAGCTCAGTAAACAGGCAACAAGACTGACATTACTAATAGTCCTAGTAGTTTGTTTTTAACCTCAAAATTTACTCCAGGTGAAGGGTTGGCATCTTAAAATTTTATTAAGTATTAACCAAAATCAAAGAAAATATAAAAAAAAATACAGGGAAAGAAAAAGAAAAACCCAATAATGGTAAACTCTTCCCGAAGGTCTGAACCACTCAGTCCCACCCAAACAATCAAAAAGAAAAAGTAAAAACATTTAAGAGACTCTCAACACAGGAAGGCTGATATATATTTGGGAAACCATACGTTCATGCGTATTTTTTTCTGCATCTGCTTTTTAGGTAACCAACTTGCAAGTCTTTGTGTTGGGTTTTTCATTTGACTTAATAGATGATAAAAGTGAGAGATTTGTATTGCCTATTATTTTCTGCTCCGCCTTTCCAGTCATGCTGCATTGACGATGCATTCTCACCCCAAGTGGGGCCCACTGGGTAATTGCACAAAGGGTCATTGTCGTTTATAAAACACTCATTGCATCTTCATGGATTTCCTAAAACCTTCCTATAGTTTGTATTTTACGAGAATACCCCCTAATTTGCAATCGATTTACTTAAACAATCTTTTATTACATGACAGTGGAAAATCATAATTTTGACCTTAATATCCATTTAAATAAATTTATATCAAAAGTAAATAAAAATGAAAATATAATTTTTGCCCTTAATATGACATGGCAAATGGCTCTACTGGGCCATTTTTTTTTATATATAAAGAAGTATTAAGGGTATTTTTGGAATAAATAATTATGAGCCCAATGCCTTTGAACATCTTCCACTCACTTTAGGCAATCATATTATTCTTTCTATATGGCAAAAATGAACACTTCTTAGTGAAAGGTCAATTAATTAAATAGGTTACAAACTATAAGGCACAATGGGTGTTTTAATAAAGTGAAAATTGCATGATAGGTTAAATAAATCCATAAAACTATAGGGATATTTTAATAAAAAATCTTCTCAACACCCAATTGGAGCTGGGTAATAAACTAATAATAATAACTTAAGTAAGTCATGTGGGAACGTGGTGATTAGTCATTTTCTTACAAACCAAGCCTTTTTTTTGGCTCTTTGACATGTAATTTGGATGGGGTTTTCAAAATTTCCATAAACGCCATAAGTCCGTTCATGAAAGAAGATAAGGCCTGTTTGGCATCACTCCAAAGAATCTCATTCTCAAAATCCTTTATGAAAATGATGGATTTTGAGAATTTTCATCTTGAGAATCACTATAGTCTGATCCTTGTTTCTCAGAAATAAATTCATGTTTGGTAGCAACCAATTTCTTTGAATCAATTCTTCGATAGATAAAATGATGCAACAATCCATCCTAATTACAACATCACCATCCGTGAGCAATACAAGGGTTTCAACTAAAAAAGTTTTTAACTGCTACATTGCCATCCTAGCTACAACATCACCATCCGTGACGCATAGTCAATTTTTTGGGATCAAGAGGGAACGAAACAAAGAGAACAAAACAATCAATTTATCGTTTTGTGGGTGCATCTATAACAGCCCATTCACCAACAATAAAATTTATTGGGATCAAGAGTTTCATACCTGTGAGTTAGGAGAGTAATGATGGTGTTGGAGATGACCGGTGGAGAAAGAACGATTGAAAGGATTCTCAAACTGAGAAGAAAAGAAAAAAATGATGGAGAGAGTCATTACAACTTGCAATAAGATGTCGTATGAGGAAGATGATGTGGAGAAAACAAAACTGGTTAAAATATTACTTGAGATAGAGTATGAGAAAGATGATGTCGACAACATTGAAGAGGGATGGAGAGAGCCGTTGCAACTTGCAAGAAGATGCAAGGCAAAATGCGAAGAGAACGAGGGCTTTAGGTCGAACACGTGTGACAAGAGTCACGTGTTCGTTTTTTAAAGGACGTCGCAAGAATGAATTCAACCAAGAATTCTCATTCAGAGAATCCGATTTTTTTTACTCCAATGAATGGAGCTGGTAGAGGGTTTTTTTTCATCCTATTTCAAATGAGAAACGGGGGCTAAGCAAAACTAAATGCAATTTTCATTCTCAGAATCACGAGTGAATCGCAAGAATCACCAAAAACGATTATGAGAAGTGATGCCAAACAGACCCTCAAGTTATCCTAATCCAGATATAACAAAACAGGTGGAAAAGGAATAAAAGAGGAAAACCAAAAGGGCGTCCAATCCATTTTGCTCTGTCGTCTTTTTCCTAATTGCTCAAAACACCTTTCTATAACATCCTTCGTGAATTGTTTGAGACTTTGGCGCTTGGTCCATGTTAAAATGTGGTCCGAAACTAAACGCCCAAATTAATATATATATATATATATATATATATATATATATTTCCTGACCGAGTTACCTCTCGTGTAGCTCCTCCTGTTTTTATCCAAAATGAAAAAAAAGTTAAATTGTCTTATTAATTAATTTCTTTTTTAAATAATATGATTTCCTTTTATCTTTCCCAACACTATCATTATTATAGCAACAATGCCCAACAAATTATTATGAATTATGATTATTTTATGTTCTTGTGGGTGAAACTTCACAATTTTTTTAGTTGGTAGCCAACTGCCATTAAGTCTGACTTGAGTTGAATTGGTAGGTAGCCAGTTTTTTCACCCTTTGCCATTTAATTTTTCTTTCTTTATTTTGTTTTCTTTTGGAGGGGGGGAAGGGTTTAGTACAAAAACAAGGCACCCTTTATCAACGTTCAACCCCATTTAAAAGGACATAAATACCCTTCATTCACATGATGTTCCTCTTGTTTGTAGGTCCTTAAAAAGTCCATTTCAAAATTTAGGTGGATATGTCTTACAATTCAATAAAATAATTTTAAATTATATGTATATTTTATATTGTTATTTGATGCTAAACTGTTAGTTAGGGATTATATAGATGCAAAGTTGAAAAATATTGTTTCCATTGCTAGGAACACCCAAATTATGTTTTTTTTTTTTTTTTAATTTCTCAAAGGTTTCTCTAGAATTTGAGTCATTCAATATTATTTGAAACCCTTTGTAAACAATCTACCAAATGATAAGAAGTGGGGAATAGAACAAAATGCCTACATAGCACCAATCGGAAAAAAAAAAACTCAAAGGCTCAGTTTGAAAAGAATATAAATACAAATATATAGAATATAGAATATAAATACATACAAAATAATATAAAATACAAGATTTTATACTATTTATATTTGTACTCCTTCAAAACCGAACCTAAAGAAATGACTCTTGATACCAAACATCGCCTTAAAAAGTAAAATTTGTTATTAACAAGTGAAAATCACATGATTTAGCTTGAAATTTGTTGGTAAGGGTAAAGTGATCACGAAAGAAAGAAAAATTACAACTGATTTTTTAATACTAATCAGCTCACACCCAAATCACAGATATGGAATAGAAAATGTTTTCTTCCTCACTTCAGATGATGAAACTAACAACTTTTGAGTTGTATTTACCCCCCTTTTTTTTTCTTTTTTTCACATGAACCTACTTTACTAAAAAAAACCCACTCATTAATATGACATGAACCAACCTACCAAAAAAAGGAAAACCTTTATCAAACCGAGAGATTCTAGATGAAAAAAAAAAAAAACAAACAAACATTGGTGAGTGGGTCCCACCCACCCAGTAAACCACGGTAAAAAAAAAAAATCATGACCCGTAAAACTATCAAATGGTAAAAAAGAAATTTTTTTAAGCAATCAGGCGCATATTTGCACTTCGAATAATTAATCCGATAGTGGTAAGTTTTCATCATCAGTAGATTGATGTCTCTGACGGATACGAATTTGACGCTGATGAAGTCTTTCCCACGTGAGTTCCTTTATAAGAACAACACGGTTGTTGATCTGGTATTTCGGTCTTCAACATAATACGAAAAAGACCAGAAAAAACAAAACATTATTTTTATTTTTATTTTTCATGGGAAAAGCTAGAAGCCAAGAGAAAGAAAGAAAAATAAATATTTAATAAAAAGGTGGTAAAAAAAAAGAGAGAGCTACGGCGAGGGCGTTGGAGTTAATGCATTTATATTTAATTTGATTTTATTTTAATATTTTTGTACGAAAGCAATTTCGGCCTGCTTTACTGCTTTTTTAGTAAAAGCCCACAAAGAAAGAGAGCAAGGCATGAAAAAAGGAACAAATAAAAATTAAAAAATATTGAAATACTCTTAAATTCTAACCATTTCTCACAAAGCTTTGGAAGCTCTTACTCTGTGTTTTCTCTCAGAAACCCTTAAAATTCCTCGTTTCTATCATTGCGATCTCTCTATTTCTGACTATTTTTCATTTTTTTAGGTAGGAAAATGGGGAATTTCTCGTTCTTTTTCTAATTTTCTGTTTTTTTTGCTATTTTTTCGGACGATTTTTCAGTTTTTTAATTCGACAAAATTCGAAAAAAGAGGGATTTTTTTGTTCTTTGGAGGGCGGATTTAATGACGGGGATTTAGACTGTGCTGGATTTTATTGCAGGATCTTGTCTTGGAAATTGGAAAATTAAAAAAAATTCATGTAAATTAGGGTTCGTGAGGTGATCTGAGTTTGTTCTTCTCCAGGTTTCTCAAGGATTTTTGTCTTAATTCTTGGTTTCTGTTCTGTGTTTTGCGTGGCTTTCAGTTCCAGGATCCACTGCCTGCCTTCTCTGTGAAAGGCCGGGTTTGCGAGGTCAGGGCTTTCTTATTGTGTGCTTAGGGTTTTAATCTTGGGTTTAGGGTTTTTCAAAGTTCTTGCCGTAAGTTTCTATTCAGTAGATTTTATCGGTAAAATTCAACGTTGTAAGGTGTGTCTTCATTGCTTGCTCTTTAGGTTTCCTAGTAGCAGAGCATATTCTTAGTGAAGTTGCTGTTTTGGGGATTTTTTTTTCCAACTCAGCAGTCGTGAATTGAGGTTTCGTAGTAGCAGAGGAAATATCGCAGCTCGGTTTGCTTGGCATCCGAAGAAATCTTGAGGACAAAATTCTGTTGATGGTCTAAGCATTAAGTTGGTTAGAGATTTGTTATGGTTTCTGGGCATACCTTATTCTATTTATGATGTCCGGATCTGAACCGGGAATCATGTCGGGAAGAGAATCGTTCGGGGTAGGTCTTCAGAAAAGTCCAGTGACTCCAGTCCCTTCTCAGGCCTCGGGAATGCCCAACATGAGATTAGCTTTCAGTTCTGATGGGACTGCGGTATACAAACCTGTCACTGGAGGCACTCCGGCGTACCAAACCAGCGGTGGAGCTTCTACTGCTGGTGGACCTGGTGGTGGTGATGGCTCTTCCAGTGCAGTGATGCAGCACGGCCTTAATATGAACATGGGAGAGCCCATTAAGCGGAAAAGAGGGAGGCCCAGAAAATATGGTCCCGATGGCACCATGTCTCTTGCACTGACACCCGCTACTCCTGCTGTTCCTCCAAGCGGTGGGTTCTCTCCTTCGGCGGTCTCGCCGTCCTCATCGTCAATGAAGAAGGCAAGGGGCCGCCCACCAGGCTCGGGCAAGAAGCAGCAAATGGCTGCTTTGGGTATCCTCTCTTTCTTTCAGATACATGTGGTTTTGGTTCTTTGTTGTTTCTGTGGTTTAGTTTGATTGTTCCTTTTTTTTTTTTATTTTCTCTCGTCATTTTTGTTTATCACGTGTTGGGTTGGTTCATGTATGGAGAATCGGGATTTGAGAAATTTGATGTTGTTGAGATGTTACTGCAACAGGGGTCCTGACTTTAAGGCTTGGTTGATCTAGGTTTTGTTTATTTTCTGTTTATTAGTTTGGGTAGTGATGGCAAGTGGGGTTGATGGATAATAGGGAGATGAATAGATGGCTCTGTAAAAAGGAAAGAAGGCAAGTTGGCTTTGCCGGAAATTTGGAGCTGTTAGATCTGATTTCTCAAATGCTATTTCAAAATTACTGTTTTGCCCTTATACAATGGTAGGTTGATTGTTTGTTCCTGCTCTACTGCTACTGTTACGTCTCATGTAAAACTCAGGTTGATCTATTAATAGTGAAAAGTCATGTTGTAATTTTGTCCTTTATTTATTTTTATTTGTGGGTAGAAAATTATTAACTCTATTTCTTTTTTGAAATAAACTAAAGATAGGCACGTAATTGAGTCTATTGTTTCTATTCTTTTTCTTTTATGGTGTTGAAAGATTTTTAGGAATATACAGTCAGACGATTATGAGCTCTAGTTCTAAAAATAAAATATTGCTGTATTTCAACAAAACAAAAGTTTGCTGATTCCGTGTTTTTCTTTACTATTTCCTTATGCAAATTGAGTTACAGTTAATGTTCTGATCATTTGTAGTTATGCTTGCTTTCTATTACTTGCTAGTTTGGGTTGAGCATTAGTACTAAATAATTTTGCATAAGAAAATGTAAAAGGAAAAGAGTCAGTAATATTATCTGTTTGTATCTTTTATTCTTAAAATTATTTACCATCATTTAAAATATAATAGGGTCAACTAACCTAATAATACAATATTAACAAGAAAATTCCTCCCAAAATGTTGGAAGGGAAAATAAGGAGAAAAGAAAGAAAAAACAAACAAAGTTAAATGGGGTCCTTTTACAATTAATCACTGAGCCTGTATTTGACGAAAGGCATGTAACAATAACAGTGTGGCATTAATGTTCAATAGTGAACTCTAATAAATATAATAATGAACAACATAAAGGTAATATTCCAAATAAAACTTTAGGAGTCAGACAGATCTAATAGATCTCAATTTTCAGTTAAAACAAATTTTTATTTTCCCCTTTTACCAAACCTATTGACTACCCAGGGAAATGGGGGAATTTAATTTTATAAGATTTTGTTGGATATTATAGTTATATTGAATTACATTTTTCTTTGAGATTACTTAAATTCAAATATGGAATGCAAATGGCATGTGGATCTCTTTCTTTCCTTGTTTTTGGATTTGATTATTCTTTTTTCTTGGTTTTGCTGCTGCCATGTTCTTTTTATTTAGTTACAGTTTGTATTACAAATTTCTAATTAAAGGCTAATCTTGCAGGTTCAGCAGGCATTGGATTTACACCACATGTTATCACAGTTAAAGCTGGAGAGGTATGTATGGCTTGACTTGTAAGATTATCTGGGTTTGAATTTGTACCACTTTATTTTATTTATGTATTGCTTTTGTGAATGGGGTGTCTACTGTTATGTTTGAAAACATGAAATGTACTTGATAGTGATGGCCAGTTTTGGTTTGATTGATGTCCACTTGATTGGTGCTGTCCATGAAATTTCTACTTGTTGACATCCACTCCATTGTTGATGTTTCTTCTTGTACCCCACCATAAGTTGTACCTTTCTGCAACTAATGCTAACTGCTAATATTTTTAAGAGCTCCGGTCCCAGAAATGGGCTATGTTTTGCCATCTTGCAGGTGGAGTCCTACTGGACATTTCATTCAACCAGTTTTAGGGTCCATTTGATAACAGCTGAAGATGCTGAACTGAAAAGTTTACACTTTATCTTTTAGTGAAGTTGGGGGCTACTTAATGGCCGAAACTGAAGTTTGGTTGATCCTTATATCCTTGAATTTTTTTTTATTTAATTATTTTAACAACTAAAGGACAAGAAAGTAAGTCTTTCAGTTCAGAACTACAGCTGTTATCAAATGATCCCTTACTCCCTTGGTCTATTATTCGAACCAAAAACTGATAATAACAATAGTATTGCAAATTAAATGATAGATGTTGAAGAAAAGTTTATAATTTGTTTCAAACAATTGCATACTGGTATTGTAAGAATAGAATTTTAATATTACAAATTAATAAACTGAATCTTTACTCGCTGAATTACATTATTATATTTGTCTTTTAGAGCTTTGGATATTCTTAATTCTTTTTTATTATATTTTAAGGTTTGGTACTAATAATGTTTGTATAATGGTGCCATGTGGGCCAGAGATCTTAAAGTTGGTTACCTTATTCTCTGCCCATGTGGCAAGTTTTTCACTTTTTCAGTGCAGTGGCTCTCTGCCGCACAATGGAGTTTTGCACTTTTTTAATTTAAGTGTGAAAATTTCAGCAACTTTTGTCAATGATAAATCTGGTCTGCAGAGTCTCTGAATACTCTTTTCCTGTTGGGTCCGACTATGATATGGAAAACCATATCATATCTAAAACCTCTATTACTGCTACGTATACAGCAGTTACCAAATTTATTTAAGTAACTGGTAATTATTTTTTTATGTATAAATTAAAATTTAAAACACTCTTTAACCTATCCGTTACTGAATCCTCGTTACCCATTCTTATCTCCTTCGAGTTCCCTCTTCTGGTCGAATTTCTCCCTTTTGAAATCGTAAATCCACAATTGGGTTATGGATTTGACCTAAGTAAAGGATTTGGATTTGGTGAATACATACCCCAGGATTTATGCGAGTCAAAATAATGTTCCTCTCTTGTAACCTTATAAGTGGACGGCAATTGGTTGATGGTTGTTAGACAAAGCTGGAACAATCTCAGATTGAACTTTAATCACCTTTCCATTGTCAACAACCTAATCATTTTATGCATATTGTTTCAAAATAATCTTGTCATTCTTATAGCGCTTAACCTCTGCTAACATGCCAGCAATGCGTTGGGGATCTACGTCTATATTTATTTTCCACTGTAAGGCATCAATTTGATCCTCAAATGATCGCATTGTGTTTACAACTATAAATGTTTCATCAAGATCAAATACCATGCCAAGACATCTAAGATTTAGCATGGCAAGACAAGAATTGTAAAGCCCTGGTGCAACATTAAAAGGATGTGTGACTTGTAACCTTTTCCTGTACATCTAATATGAACCAGTGATCATTTTCTGTTTTGCATTTTCATTTGGAAGTTTAGTTTAAAATTATGACTGGGATCCTATCTAGGTGTAAGGATCTCCTTTAATTGGTTGCACGCTTACACCATGATGCATCATTATGTGAAGTAGACCTTTAGCTTCCCCATTTTGTGGACAAATTACATACCATTGTTCCCGTCCCTTTATGAATTGCAGACAGGTATGCTCCATATAAGGATGTGTGACTTCTTATGACCTTTTCCTGCACATCTATTATGCATTATCCATCCTTCTGTTTTATATTTCTATCTGGAATTTAAATTTAAGCTTATGACTAGGGCCTTTCTGGGTGAAAGGATCTCCTTTAAATTGGTCCCATACTTAATGACACATAATTATGCAATAGAGACCGTAACTGCTCCATTTCGTGGACAATGTACATATTCATTTGTTGGCTCTTTGGACTCCAAATCTGTTGGTCGGTCTCCGAAAGTCTGTAGAGAATGGCAATGGAGCAAGTCAGTAATTGCAGAGAGAGAGAGAGAGAGGATCCTAGAGAGGGGGTTTTGGGCCTTCTCTATTTATAGAGAAGGCTCCTCCGACCAAGTAGGAAATTACATAATGTTAGAGGGAACTTTACCCAAAGCGGGAAAGTCTGTTTGGTTTGATCTGGGACAGGGAGGTCACAAGCAGGGTTTCATGATTTGTCAATGCGGAGATCCCGGGGTCTAGGTTCCCGCCCTTCTCCTCGTGGTGTGCATGTGAGCACAAGCTCAGTTACAGCCCTACTTTTGGAAAACTCTCACGCCTTAGGCATTTGCATTGATGCACTGGTGTATCATCAAAGTTCTTTTTGTGGTGCTTATATAAAGCATTGTAGACTTGTGTTCTGTTGCGCTGCAGCACTTTAGTGTTATGTCATTGCAGTGCGTGTCACTGCGCTAACAGGCCAATAGGCACAGTTCCTTTGTCATCATGAGGATGCTTGTTTGCTGTGATTAAGGCTTGAGTAGGACTGCATTATGGGAATTTTTAGGCTACATTAGTTGTGACAGGATATTTTTTGACACAGGTGGAAGCCTGGGTTTGCGAGTGTGATGTGAGTGCGCTGTGGTCACTTACTTGAGTGTCCTCAGTGATATCGCTATGGGACCTGAGTCCATATACTTGTACCATTGTTGCCTCTATAAACTGTACTTGGGCATGCTCCTTTTATTCTAGAGTTATCATTCATATGGTATGGAGGAAGCAATGTAACTAGGAAACCTGTCTTGGGTAAGTCACAAATGACTTGCCTGTTAAAGTAGGTACCTTCATGACCATTGTAGCCAGATGGTATTTATGTGATAAAGGCTGTCTACAAGCTAGTTGTCTTTGATTGTTTATCCATGCTCGTAGCATTATCTCTAAGCTTCTTTTATTGTTGGCGTTATTATATGCTAATATATTCCTACAGATGTTCTTATTTTTAAACTAGCTTCCATTGAAGATAGGGAAGGGGTGTAATGGGACAATTTGTCTGAGGGGCTGCCATTCAAAGCTAGCTGTAGGTGTATTTGTATCTGGTTTCTAGGGTATAACAAAGAGCTGATTTGAGTTCAGCCAAGCTGAAGCTTATCCTCGACTGATCTGTCTTCCTATAATTCAATAAATCTCTTGATGTTGAAATAAAAAAGATGCTCTTATTTTCCACTTGAAGATCATATGAGATGGTTTCTGCAGCTGGATTATTAACCACAGTTTATTTCTGCTTTTCAGGATGTTTCTTCTAAAATAATGTCATTTTCTCAACATGGTCCACGGGCTGTTTGCATTCTTTCCGCAAATGGTGCTATATCTAATGTAACACTGCGTCAAGCAGCAACTTCTGGCGGAACTGTAACTTATGAGGTTTGTGAGATTATTGTTTATTGTTTTATCTGCCATTGTCTAATAAGTAATAACTAGATGTTTCAAATATATGTTCAATAGTGGAAAAACATGCTTATTTCTCATAAAATTTACTCTTAATATTTGCTTTTTTAACTGAGGCTCAGGAACTTCTAAAAGGAAAATAATTATAGTTTGATGAATTTCATACATGATACTACAGGAAATTTAAAAGGGAATGGGCATCTAAATGTGCCTTTCTCTATTATAGCAGTTTATTTATATGTATTTTATTTAGGTATTTGATCATGTTTTGTCTAGGTTATTCAGGGTCTTCTGTGGCATAGAGTGGATATGGACCAAACTCTTGAATTTAATCATGAATTGGTCACTCTGAAACTTAAATGTGTCAGCGTAGAGGTTTTATCATAACACCATAACACCAAGCAACTATCCTTCAATATGCTATGGATCTTATGGTGTCAGAGTGAAAATGCTAAGCGGTAGAAAAATCTATTTATTGGCATAGAACTGATAAAGTTCATATGGTTATACTAAATACATGATTGCATCTACAAGACATTTGCACATGAGAAAGTGTTGAGATTCTAAAAAATCTATTTCGGTATGAACCTCATTAAAGAGAAAAGATGAACATGCAGAAAGTTCTTATCTCAGCGGGATAGTTGTGTTCAAAATGATGAAATTCCATGTATTGCTAAAATAGCATTACCTCGATTATGGATATGGATTAAATCCAGGTTGTGTCAAGGTCATGTTCTTTTCAAACCAACAAAGGTAATCCTTTTCTAAGGCTCCAACTTATGTTGAGAAAGTCATGGAAATTGTGTACTAAACTCATCATCATCATCACCCAAGCCTCATCCCAACTATATAGAGTTTGGCTACATGAATCCTGTTTCACCATTCTGTTCTGTTTAATGCTATATCCATTGTTAAATTATAATTTATAAGCGCAAATTATGTACCAAACTGGGCAGGGAAAATTTCCATCTTCATTTTCTGTGTAATGACATTTTGTTCTCCATTTAAAAAAGAGTAACGCAATGAGGGGGAGTGCAGCAAAATGGTAGGCCCTTTAACAGCCCCTTTTACAGCCTTCCACTACAAACTTATTATTATCTGACAAGTTGGCATTTGTCTTTTCCACCTTGCATTCACTTGATAATTTCATGACCAAACACACCCTAGAAGTTAATATATGCACTGGTCTTTGGATGGTGTTGCCCAAAAAAAAATAAAGGTGGCGATTATGATTATTGCTGATAAAAATGTCATTGTTATTGATCAAAAGATATTGTTGTTAATGTTGAAATGTTGCACCTATCTGAGATTCTCTTACATGTTTGAATGCAGGGACGATTTGAGATATTGTCACTTTCTGGTTCATTTCTTCTCTCGGAGAGTGGTGGTCAGCGTAGCAGAACTGGTGGACTAAGTGTGTCCCTTGCTGGTCCAGATGGTCGTGTTTTAGGTGGTGGTGTAGCTGGGCTGTTAACTGCAGCATCCCCTGTCCAAGTATGCTTATCTTTATACTCCTAAGTTAATACCTCTAGTTTTTGTTTATTTTACTGCATTGAGTTTTTTTTTTGGCCTTTGTATTATAATGTTTGTGACGTAAGTAAAATTCAACTCAAGTCAACTCAGCACTATTTGTGGTCAGTTATATAAATTCTCTTCAGCCATTCTGCCATCTTAATCAAGGGTAACGTTATCTGTCAAATTTGAAGCCCTTAAATTGTTTTTTACCACTTCAGACCACGTTTTGTTTGTCTTTTTCCTTTTAGAGCCTTCTACTTCACCAATTCACTAGAAAAGTAATGCCTTGTCATGGTGTTCCCAAAAGTTTAAACTCATTTTTTTAATTGTTGGAAACTCTTATTTTTAATTTATTTACCAGTATCATACATGCTTATCCTTAAAAAGTGGAAAGAGTATTTCATTGTAACTAATTCCAATTTTTTATCTGGCTGACCAAAAAATTCCAAAATTTATCAGCTTAAAATTTTTATTTTATTATCAAAAAGGTTATTATTCCTATGAAACCTTTTATTTCCTAAATAGGTTGGACCTGACTATAAATGAGTTCCAATGCCAAAAATATGTCATATGGTATTGTAGATGTCCATAAATGTCTTGTGTTGCTTTATTATAGAATACTGCACTATGTTCTACAAAGAGCAGAATGCCTATGTTCATAAAAGCTAAAATCTATACAAGATACATGTGCATTAATTTGTTAAAGCTAACATGCCTTCTACATAAAAAATGAGATGGCCCTTGTATGCCTGACAATATGAATATGGTAGAGGTTTCTACGACAAAGAAAGGAAGAATATGCAATTTACCGATCAAAAAAGGAAAAAAAAGGAAGAATACGTAGAGATTGACTGGGAAGGACAAAGGTAGCTAAGTCTACTGTTTTGGTGGTTAGTGCAGGTTGGAGGATTTAAAAAGTTTAGGGTTGAACATTACCTCCCCCCAAAAGGAAAAGGCCTCAGCTTTGCTTTGTGAGAAAATATTTAACAATTCAGTCTTTTAGATATAGCCTTGTGAGATTCTAGGGGGGGCAGCTTAACTGGATGGGAAATCCTATCCCACTGGACAACCAAGGCAGCTGTGGAAGGTCCTTTTGACTTTATGGTGCACTGTGGGGTTGCCATTCATGTTTCATAGCCAGTCCTTGTGAGCATGATGGAGGGACAGGATGATGAAAAAGATGCTGTCTTTTAAAATGGTGATATTTCCCTTACCGTGAAATCAATAAGCTAATTGCATATTTTGCACGAAATGTGTCATTGGCCTATCAGCATAGAGATTTGTTTCCAGGTACACAGATGGTTGACATGATGTTTCTTTGCAGGTGGTAGTTGGTAGTTTTATTGCGGAAGGACGTAAGGAGTCTAAATCATTGAATCAATCAGAACCATCATCTGCTGCAACCAAACTTGGGCCAGCAGCCGCAGGAAGCCCGCCGTCAAGGGGTACACTGAGTGAGTCATCTGGTGGGCCTGGAAGCCCACTGAACCAGAGCACAGGAGCATGCAACAACAATAGTACACAAGGATTGGCAAACATGCCATGGAAGTAGATGGGCATTTGTAGATGAGCAGCGTCTTTACCAGAACCAGACTGTACTACTAATCACCAAGAAAGACTAGACTTTGTTTGTAATTGAGAAAGCCCCCTTTGTGTTAACTTAATGTAAAATTGTAGGTGTGCTGACGAACAAGGAGGAAGGTTGGTTTCTTTGTAGCCATAGAGGCCTTCCTCCCCTCACTACAATATAGGAGCCTAGCCCCTAGGAGGTGCCGTGGTGGTGTGAGACTAATACTAGCTCTAGCCATCCTTCCCCACCGGTTGGCGTTGTCTCTTATTTGGGAAGTTGGATCAGAGGTTTTCTTTTTTTTTTTTTTTTGGTTTTTGTTTTTGTGTTGAATGAGGTCATTGTTTTAGAAACAAAAGGTGGCTATTAAATTTTTTCTTCTAGGTATTCTACGAAAGTTTTACTCTCTCTCTCTCTCTCTCGGTGATCCACTCACGTACACATAGCACTTGGCTGACGTGCGTGGTGTCATATGATCATATCCTAGTTATAATCCAGGCAATTGTGAAACGAAAGCAATTGTTAACATTAAGGTTCAAAGTATCGAAAATGCTATGTGTATCGGAAAGTCAAATTTAAGAGACGTATCAGGATACATCTTGGATATGGAAACACATGGAAATGTAATAAATATTTTAATAAAATATAAATAAATATCAATATCACTAAATATAAGACATAAATGAGTTATTTATGCAAAAGAAATAGCACGTTTTAGTGGGTTTCATGAAAAATAACATATTATAATTAATAAACAGGAAGTCGGGAACAGAAACATGCTATCTAATTATGGACATAATAGATCAAGTAATTATTTTGCATGTTTTATTTTAAAAATTAAATTAAAATTAAGAAAAGTAAATATGTAACAAAAAATTGAATGGATTTATGGACATAATAGAGGAAATAATTAGTCTGCATATTTTATTCTAAAAGTAAACTAAAGTTAAAAAAAAAATATCAATGATTCAATGTTTTAAAACACAGAGGTGTTCCACTAGAGGCGTGAAGCATAATTCAGAATGCAAGAGGCATAAGCTTCCTTAAGAGGAGGAAGGAAGAAGGAGGAAGGAGGAAGGGGGGATTTCATTTTTTTTTCTTTATCTTTAATAAAAATCTTTTATATTAAAAAAAAATGCATAACATTTGTTAAAAGGGGGGTCTTGTTGAAGTGAAGCGAGCTCGCCGAAGCGGAGCAAGGCCCCCCTAACTCTAAAAAATAAAATTGGGCTACATCGAAAAGGGGGACGGGGGGGTCAGGGGGGCGAGCAGGGGGCAAACCACTTTCTTTCCCCTTATCTTTTCTAACATTGGCTGAAAATGTAAAAAAAAAAATTGTAAAAACATTTATTTTCACTCCTTTTTACACAACCTTGAAAAACTTATTGAATCTTGGCATCTTGCAAATTTATAAATGTTTTTGGAAAATTTTTACAAGATTTGAGTCTTTAGAAAGATGGCTTTTTGGAAGGTTTGGGAAAGAAAGAGGGCTTCTGAAATGGGTTTAGAAGCCCTCTTTCGAAATCACTTCTATTTGTGTTTTAACAACAATAAAATCGTTGTGTATCGGCCGTGTTGCGTATCGGCCAATACACGACCGAAACTCACTGATACAACACCGATATGGCGTCGATACGCCTTTGACACGTCGAAAAGGAACGGTACGATTGATTTCAAACCGTTCCCTGTGCCGAAAGCCTTAAGACACGATACGTATCGGCCGATACGTGATGAAATTTTGAACCTTGGTTAACATTAGCCTTTAAGTCTTGTGCAAATTCATTTTAAACGCTTTAAGTGTAAAATGGTCATGGGGATGGGACGACTGGGTGAAGTCTCGTCTCGATGAAGTCTGGAATCTGATTCGAATCTGATACAACTCGATTATGCTGATGGAAACATGGCAGTCAATCATGAAGACTCGTGCCTACTGACAAACCATTATCCATATCACACCAAATCGCAGGATTGTTAGCCTCATAATAGGAATGGCAACGGGGCGGGATCATATTTGTCGTCCCCGACCCCAATTCCGATTTTGAAATTAACCCCATTTCCGTCCCCGATCCTCGTTGGGGATAAAATTTGTCCTCCATCCCCATCGGGGATGGGTTTCCCATGGGGACCTCAATCCCTAAAATGTCTTTAGATAACAATATTTTTTAAATAAATTTACTTAAAATAAATAAAAAATCTAAATTATAAATAATGTTTTAAATATGTTTTGATATATATAATATAATATAAATAATATACTCAAGGAGGGGTAGGGACCTATCCTCGACCCTGACCTTGACTAGGGATTCCTATTAATCCCCGTCCCCTTCCCTGCTCCGCCAAAGCAATCTCCATCCCCATCCTCTCCAATGATTGTAATCATTTGGCCATCAAAGGCCGTTGTAAATACGATTATAAATTATCATTGATAAGGTGAATAAAGGCATTGAGCTTTATCTGAATTTGATCCCTTGTATTTCTCCCTCTACTTCAGTGGTTGTGCTAACCGGCACCAATCCACGAGGTAAATCTAAACATTCTCGAAGATGAGAAGAGTCTAATATAAGATTGATATCAGAGCCACCCGTGAAGGGATGAGAGATCCATCATATGGATGGTCGAGCCCTGGTGGAAGGTTGGGCGAAATTTCAAAAATTTCTCTCTCCCATCTAGGAATCGCATTCCCTATTTTAGAAAACTACATTTTCAATGATCAATCTTGAACCAAACTGGATCAGATCTGAAACCAAAAGGGAGGAGAGGGATATACTTGATACGGAGTAGCAGTAACTCCCAATGAAGGTGTTTATGCCCAAGGAGAAAACCAAAACCTGCTTCCACTGAAGATGACACAGTGTGAGGTGAAGCAGGATCAGCAGGATGACTCTTCAGCAAGAATGGAGTAGAGGGCTGGTGAGCACGAGTTCAGATTGCTTATTCTACCAAGAACAATTCTTGATCACTCCCACAAGTGGAGATCGAACTGGGTAGGGGCGACAAGAACAGGGAAGAATTCTACACTTTTTTGTGTCTTGTTTGGTGTCTTTTGCATGTCCGCCCTGCTCTCTTATTTATAATTTTAAAGAAACAACCTTCTAATCTGATTAGGAGTTTCCTGATCCAAATCTTTATTTGAATCCGGACTCTTTATGTGATAAGGATAATCCCTTATCTTATCTGTAGTATAAGATTAGCTTAATCCTAATCAAATTAGGAGTTTCCTGATCCAAATCTTTATTTGGATCTGGACTCTTTAAGTGGATAAGACTTATCCTTATCTACTGATCCAAACCCAGATCCGCCCCTATTTAATTAATCTAATTAATCCAGTTTGAATTGGGCTTTAGGCCCATTAAGTTTATGTGCTCACTTAACCTCTTAACTCGTTGTCCAGTTGGCTCTCTTTGTATGGCGTGGGACCCAAACATTGATCTACACATCAGCCACATGAGTTCAACCCAACCTTTGTTACAAGGCCTGGCCGAATTCACTGTAGGAGACAGTGAACCCCTGAGTCCATCACCATGGGCTCTTAATGGGCCCAATATTTACACTAAATGATCATTGGGTCCAACCACTTTATGAAAACCCAAGGACTGTGGGTAGATGCAAGATTAGCCCATCAGGTATTACCCTCAATGGTCTTACACTTAACCTCTCAGCCCATAATGATCAAACACTGCCCGACAAGAGATGATCTCTCCCTCGTCTGCAAG